AAAATGTGGACATGAATTAAAAAAATATAGAAAAAGCTAAATGAAATAATGTCTTCAACTCTTACACACAAGGAGACTTGCACTTTTAGACTTGCTAAAATTATAATATAAATAATATAAAGACTATTTATTATATAATATATAAAATATATTTTTGTTTGTAATCAGTATTCCACTCCTCCAAACGAACATACAACACTTCGCATTTCCAATTATGTCCATTAGATGTCACTCTTGTATGATTTGTCGTTCCATTTACAGTGAACATTTTTAACATTTATTTGCGAGACGTCCCAGTAGCCCCTCACTGCAGAACACAAGATCCAGGGGGGCGTGGTTGGATCCACATCTAGGGGGTGGAGACGGGTAGGTTTAGGGGTGGAGATGGGTGGGTTTAGGGATCAGCGGGTGGAGACGGGTAGGTTTAGGTATATGTAAAGTGGGAGGATTTGGATCTGGATCTTGTGTTCTGCAGTGAGGACCATCTCAGACTTCCGGTTCATCATTCATAGGTAAATAACTAGAATAACAAAGTGCAGTGAACAGCAAAACTACTCGTGCTACAAACCAGTGTATATGATTATGACAATACATTAAAATAATATGAGGGAAAACCAGTATGAAATATCAAGCAGCTTAACAGACTGTTTTTGTACAGCTAAAAGAACAGGAAGAGAATTCACAATGGCTGTGCCTGCTCTGGATGCTTTTTGATCTTTTCACATAACTGCAAATGTTGGAATTGTTTCATTATCCTATTGTATGAGGTTTGTGTCTTTTTTACAGGTTTCGCTAAGGTGTCTATCACAACTAAACAGTGTGCACTTAGATGTGAAGCTGGGACCCAACAGCTAATAACTGGAGGGTCTGTAACTACCCACTGCTGTAACACTGACCTCTGCAATGCAGCAGGTATTGTTCTTTATATGATCATGTGCTAATTAGCAGTTTGGTTTGGTTCACAGTGACATAAAATGAGGAAATAATACAAACAATAATACTACAAACACAAGTGATTGTTCAAAGGAACATAATATCAAATTTCAAAAGCGTCCTGAATAGTGTGCAAAACTTGACCGGCAGGAACCTTATGAATTAGTCAAGTGCTTTCAGAGTTTTTATTGTGATGAAATTTATCAACAATGAATAAGCAATTTTTAATTGCTTTTATTACTAGTTGTAGCATTAATTACCAGTGATTTTCTTATTGTCTTGATCAGATGGCGTGTATAAGGGAAGCGTCCTCCTGCTGTTGTCTCCTCTGCTCTTCTACTTCCTGTTTCAGTGAATCCAGCTGCACTTCAGATTCTACAGCTGCAGCAGAAACTGAATGTCACACACGTTTCTAGTCATACTTTATTAATAAAGCTTGTTTTGTTGTTCTGCTGTTCTTTGGTATCATGATTTGAGGAACGGAAAATCTGTATTTTATTTTAAAAATTAACCAAAATAATAAATACAATAATAAATGTTCTACTGTTCTTCGGTATCATGATTTAAGGAACAGATCATCTGTACTTTTATTAAATAAATGTTAAATAAAATACTGCACCAACACTGTAACAGACAAATAATTATTCAAAAAAGGTGGGAAATTTAGTAGTAATGAGTTTACAATATCTGTAGTAACTTTTTAGAGTAAGAATATTCCTGAGATTCAGTAATATTTCAGCCCTCCAGATTTTTTTAAAGTAGTGGTTCACCAAAAATGAAATGTTACTATTGTGATGAGAAGAGCTGCTCAAACATATTGAGCTGTTCAGGGAGTGAAGGCCGCTGCTTTAAAGCAACAGGTGAGAATCTGGAAAAGGAAGAAGTCATTATTTTTATATCTTTGATGTTTGAGCATTTGATACAGCTCACGTTTACCAATTTCCATGCAGCTTTGAAAGACCTGTCTTCTTTTCTTTTCATCAGGGAGTTTTTTAGGCCAGTCACTGGGTGTAAAAGGCTGCATCTCTAAATCTATCTGTGAAGCCACAACATCAGTTGGTGATGTTGAAGGCATCTCATGTTGTTCAGGGAACCTGTGTTGAGAACGGTGCTGAGAGCATCACTCTGAGAGCTTCCTGTTCCTCTGCTGTTCTCTGCTCTCCTTCATCCTGCTGCTGCACTGAATCCAGCAGCTCTTCACATTCTACACTGAGACACACTGTACTGAATACATAGTAGGCTATGTATTTTTTCTGTACTATATCTTTAGTGTCCGATAATGTTTTTTCTTTGCTGTGATATTCTGATGTGACATTGACTAAATAAAATATTAAATCAGTTTTTTTCCTGGTGTCATATTTACTAAAAATATTACTCAAATACTTACAAAGTGTACTTGAAACACAATGTGATTAAGGAGAAGTGCTGGGTACTGATAACAGTTTGATTCATATCTTAAATCGATTACCTGTAATATCGATACTACGTTTATAAAAAATCCACTTGGACCCGTTGCAAAATGTAACAGTCGTTTGAGTAAAGTTTCAAATTGCATTTAGCGACTTTTATCAGCAGGTGGCAGAAGATGATCTTTTGTCTACTAGTAAAACAACATTAATTTTTAAAAAAGGCTACTTTTTCAAGTTGGTGGTACATTTTCAAAACTAATAGTTCAGCAAAAATGCATTTTTTTGAAAACATTTCAGCATATTTTCAGTTATCAATTTACAATACACAAAATCCCAAAGTATAATTTTCACTACATGATGTTTCATCAGTACACCGTGACCATTTCATTTAACTGCATTTCATAATGCTTAATTTTCATGAACTGATCTTATTAGTGAATCAGTGAATTATATGGAACATAGATCCTCTGTAGAATGGGTTTGCAATGGATATCCAAGTAATGACATCTTCTTACAGTATCATTGATTTATTTCGAATCATAACCACAGAAAAGTTTCTGTGTGCAAGAGAAGAAGAGACAACTCTTGCAATATGTGACAGATCAGCATGCATTAGAAGAAACAGGAAACAATCACTGACTGCGTAACCACCAGAGTGATCAGAGATGCATTTGAAGGAGGGAGACAAACAAGAGAAAATTAATCTGTTACATCACGAAAAAGCCCCAAGTTGCTAAAGTGCAAGTTTCAAAATTCTTCCTGTTTTGTAAGAATAACGTGACATACAGCACAGGCCTATGATAGGCTAGTGTAGAACTTAGCAAAGGTTTCCCAGTAAACCCACCCATTTCTGAACAGACATAAAAGGAATGAAAACATAGTTATTTAATTCTGTTCCTGTCTGAGACATGATGGATCTGCGTGTCTCTGTTGTTCTTCTGTTCATTTTTCTCACTGGAGGTACAAAAAACTGCAAGTATTTAATAATATATTATTTGGTACACATGGAGAGGTCACTAAATGTCTCTCTCTGTCTTTAAGGATACTCTCTCAAGTGTTACACGTGCTCATCTGCTCAAGGGGGCACCTGTGAAGCAAAAGTGCAGATATGTGGAGATGGATTTTCCAAATGTCAAACCCAAACAATAGAACAATCCATTGGTAAGTCCAGTATGATGTGGAAATTGTAATTAATTTGATTAATTAATGAATAAAGTATCCACTTCATTTTACAATGCAAAATAAAGTTTCTGTTAATGTGTGAAACTTCAGATTCATCATCCACTAGGTAAATAACTAGAATAACATAGTGCGCTACAAACCAGTGTGTTTATGACTATACATTAAAATAATATTTGTTAATACCGGTTATCAGTATCAAGCAGACTGTTTCTCTACAGCTAAAATAAAAGGAAGATGATTTACATTCAAGTTACAAATGGACATGGATGCTTTTGATCTTTTCACAAAACTGCAGTTGAAATTGTTGAAATTGTTTAATTATCCTATTATATAAAGGTTTGTGTCTTTTTTGCAGGTTCCACTAAGGTGTCCATCAAAACTAAACATTGTGCACTTACATGTGAAGCTGGGACCCAACAGCTCCCGACTGGAGGGACTGTAACTACCCACTGCTGTGACACTGACCTCTGCAATGCAGCAGGTAATGTTCTTTATATGATCATGTGCTTGATTTTTCCCACAGTGGCTTAAAATGAGGAAATACTACAAACAATAATACAACAAACACAAGTGAATGTCCAAAGGAATAATCAAATTTCAAGTATAGTGCAAAGCTAGAGCGGCAGGAAAAGGAAGTTGAACAATGAATAAGCACTTTTTAATTGCTATTATTACTAGTTGTAGCATTAATTAACAGTAATTTTCTTATTGTCTTGATCAGATGGCGTGTATAAGGGAAGCTTCCTCCTGCTGTTGTCTCCTCTGCTCTTCTACTTCCTGTTTCAGTGAATCCTTCTGCACTTCAGATTCTACAGCTGCAGCAGAAACTGAATGTCACACGTTTCTAGTCCTACTTTACTTAATAAAGCTTGTTTTGTTAGTCTGCTGTTCTTTAGTATCATGATTTGAGGAACGGAAAATCTGTATTTTATTAAACGCATTAAACAAAATACTGAATAATGTGTGTTGTTCTGCTGATCTTGTGTCATGTTTTGATTAAGGGATATCTGTATTTTATTATTATTTGGTCTTTTAATATCTGTCTTCTTAATACATTAAGCCATATTACTGTAAGTAGGCTATTCATGTTTTTCTACGGGAGGAAAAGGTTTTGAGAGTTTTATGTTTCGTTCGCTGTTTTGTGTGGCCATAGATTTGTGGATCTTGTTTTCTCTCCTACAGGTGAATTTAGTAGGTAGGTTATAGTTCAAAATTACTTTTAATTGTTTAACTACCACAGCGTCTTTTCTCCATTGGCAACGCTCATGATTTTTGTAAAATTGCAAGCAGGGCTGGACTGGTAATCGGGCATACCAGACATTTTCCCGGTGGGCCGACGCACTTAAAGGCACAATATGTCATTTTTCGCCGCTAGAGGGCGCATATTCAAAATAAACAGAAACATTTCGCCGCTGGAGGGCGCGTATTCAAAACAAACAAAGAAACAAAGGCGTAGTTTGATGACGCAGTGACTGAGTGTGGAGTCATGGGAGTTGTGGTCTTCATCCCCACAGCCGATGCAATCCGACGGGACTCGGGCAGAAATCATGTTCATGGATGAGCTAATGATTTATTAACGTAGTAGAATGAAGCAGGGTGAGGCTGAAAGCCGTCGAAGCGAAACGAGGCCGCTGAATGAGTGCAACACATGGCTCGAAAGCAGCGAAGCTTTTATTATGCCACAGTCGACCGCTTCCGCTCCTTCCGGTCGTGCGTATGTGGGGGGAAAAAGCAGCGCTGTTTTATCATACTAGATACATTTGAAAGTTCTGTTATAATGCTACTCTGTGCGGTCGTCACCTGTCTATTAAAACGCACAACATATTAAAGCGTCTTTGGTGTTTCCATGTTTTCTACAAAACAAAACCGGAAATCGAGGGGTCATGACGTCATTGGCAGGCGACACAATGACACTATGGACACGCTCCGTGTCACTAGTTAAAATTGCTTATTTCTCTGGATTTAAACATTCTTCGAAACATTTGGGATAATGTAAGTACACAAGTCAGCAAAATATATAACACTGTTCTAGTGGTTTTTGGATATTTTAATTTAAAAAATCTTACATATTGTGCCTTTAAGTGTGCCGACAGAATGTTTTTTTACCAAGGACCATCACGCACGAACAGCGAGCTGCCAGTGGCCCATTGGTTTGTCTCCTGTATAGACAGCGTAAACCACCCAATCACAATGCGCTATAGACGGAGCGATGAAGTATTTTGCTCCGCCTATATAAAGATCGCTTCACTCCAACTTCTTCCTCGTCGGCTTTTCCCACGTTTTCACAGCAGCATTATCAAGAACAGGCTTGCTCTGCGGTGAGTGATGC